TAATTTCATTTATGAGAACGATATAAATGCCATAATGAAAGAATTTTGTAATTTTGTTAATGTATGTTTTACGAATCTTTTAGAATTGAAATAAACATCGTCAAGGATATTATTTTTAGACATACAATAAAAACTGAGCAAAACTGAGAGTTGTACGACTTTTAAACAGTGTGGAGGGAAGAATGTGAAAATTCTATATTCAAGTGTTAGAAATTATACGACGAAAATTCCTTGAAGACAATTTTATGAACGTTCGTCTCCTATAAATAAAATTTTCTATAAAAGTATATTGCTTCAAGTATTAGGCATAGCTGTTAATACCATTTCTGAAACGGTTTATGGAGGTCTTACAGCTCGAACAACCCTAAAAAAAAGGTCCCGTAAAGTCATAAAGGTATTTGTAATTTGTACAGCGCAGATTTCCTATTTCCATTGGCGTATTTATACAGTGTATGTATAGAATTGCCCGTTTCAAAGAAACAGCTTCATCATTGCCAGGCGCTGTTACGATCACTTTGACGGTGGTCGTCGCATTATTAACACACTTTTCCAACAGCATATTTTTCTGTAATCGATTTTATTCAGAATTATCATCGCTGTATAAATAAAATAAATCGTAACGCGTTTCGATGGACCTCCGTCAATTCGATGATTCCGACTGATGATCATGTTTTAAAATGAAAACGGTAATAAATGAATCCTCCTCTGAACTTTGTACCCTCGGGTTTCAACACTGTTTCATCCCGGTTTGGCGCGCCTTGCGAAATCGCCGCGACGCGAACAAAGAAATACGATCAGTTTTTCTTGTTGACTGACGCAGCGATTGTAGTTGCGACAAAAAAAAAATATATGTCACAGGTATGACAGGCTATTCGTTCCTACGCAATGCCGAGCCATTGTTCCGCGGCCGGCTCGTCCGACCCGACAAGACGATAAATGGGAAAATGAACGCGTACTAGCGAGTTACGATCTTCAGTCTACGGTAATTATTATTGGTTTTCTGAGCCAGACCCGTTTATTTACCTTTCACGATCAAACAGGGAAATCGCCAGCCTCTTTTTAAACCCCGTGCATGAAAAATACGAGCAATTTTCATCTTATCTTTTCTCCAATTTTTTTAATCGTTCTTTATTATTACGTATTTCAAAATGCGCTCCAGGCTCCTTTTCATAAAGAAGCGTGTTTATGTCTGATTGCATACTGGCTAATTCTCCTTCGCCAAAATTTCCTTTGCTAGCAGATAACACGAAAAATTAGATATGCAAAATACACAGTCCCGATAATAAAAAAAGGATTGTTTCGGTCGGACTAGGAAAGCAAATATTAATATTTCGGCGGCTCGTGACAATTTCCGTCAAATGTGAACATCGCGTGTCCGGCTCGTGGAATTAACGCTTGGCTTTAGTAGGCATCGTCCTCTACCGGATTTTCTCCAGATTACTAGTATACGCCAACGATTTTTTTTTAACAGTTTATTTTAAAATATACGTTCCGAAATATACAGAAATAAAAATATTTAACAAGTATAATGTAACAAAATAGGCATAACTTTCAGGCGCATTATGCTAATAACCTTATATGTATAATACCTATAATATTAAGCGGCAGAATATTTGTCTTTTTTTGTCAATTTGAATCTACTGTCCATCAGAACGGATGTTCATAATCAAGAGTGCTTAGGATGGTATCCTACCCACTTTCGATAAGTGACGTTCATTACGTCTTCTACCATATTGTCTATGGGACGTATTATTAGAGGTATAGAAGCTAGACCAATTGCAGTTGGGATCCATTTGTTCCTTAAGGCCACATTGTTGCTTCTTTTTTGTAAAAATTGAACAGTGGCACAGATTCTGTTAATCGTGAAACCAGGAATGATCACAGAAGCAAATGACTGCCACAGTAACGTGTCTGTCATACCCATTAAAGCATTTTTTGTTCTTCCTGGAGTAACATCCTTCTGCAAAATGAGATACTTATAAGTACTTCAGCATCACGTATTTTGACAATTTGGTCTTACGTTTAACTTACACGATAAGCTTTGAGACCACTGTTGATCGTGTCTGCGAGCACGTAGCCACTGGCTATAACGTAACTAAGCCGTACTACTGAATTTGGAACTATAGATCTAAATGCCTCTCCTACTTCGTTTGCATAGCCTGATGGAATAATTTAAAAACGTAGTTCGCATTGTATAAAATATAATCTCAGATCTACGTACGTACATACATGTAACGAAAACGTGAATCAAAAATTGAATAACAGTGAGCCTATTTCTCATTACCCAAATATCTGACTGGAGTGTCACGGTATAGGTCCACTTCTTTTATCCCTTTCATAGTAAATTGCTTTAATCATCAGGTATTTAAATACATAACCTATGGAACACTTCCGATGCCTCAGTTTCACGATTAAATGGCATACATCGGCGTAAAACCGATTTCATTAAAGATGTTCGAAGTATACGAAGAAAAATTATAGATTCATTTAAATAAATGATTACTTTGGTACGATTATAAAATACTTTGGAAGGACATTGATCGTCGGAAGAATTCGAAATTGGAATAACACCACAGACTTCAGGATACACGCAGATTGTACATGCAGCGAGAACTTTTGCTACAGGTCCTGAAATGTCCTGAATTACCGATGCGATCAAAGGTGAACAAAATATGAACCTTGACAGGACACGAACAAAACAATCTTTGCGTTCCATTTGGAAGGAAATTTGACATGGTACGGAAAAGATTTAATAGGAAACTGTGTACGAGAAGTTAGCTTGACACTGTGAATGAATTTGTATTAGCATAAGCAAGTATGGCGTCCAATCCTATTATCTCGTATAACATAACACTTAAATGTTTCTTAAATAAAATGAATTCGATGTCCCGAACGCTATTGGGATAGCTCGCTCCTTCGCAAATATGACCGGGCCGTAATATTCGTAAGTGAAAAACAATCCGTATACCGTCGTGCACGATGATAGATCTCGATTTCGTCAGGGGATACCTTAGTATGCAAGTCAATGAAATAATTTGTTGGTGGTGGTTTTACATCAACGAGATTTCGTGGCAATTGCTAATCGCTATCACCGCGTATCTTTGCGTTTGCATTTTCCTCTATTCAGTTTTGAAGAGAGTTAGCCACGTAGCGTGGCAGCTTCCAGGTCCGCCTGCGAGAATATTGTTAGTCACTGCTCACCCTGACGATGAGGTGATGTTTTTCGGTCCTCTCGTTTACTGGGTCACAAAATCGAAGGCTAGCGAAATTTATCTACTCTGCCTTAGCAATGGTACGCGTATTAGCCGAGCGCGAGCGTATCTTGGAAACTGGACTATTGTTGGATATTCTTTTTAGGTGGTGATAAGAAGAGAAAAGAAGAGTTATGGAACTGTACAAAATTATTAGGGATTCCCGAAGATAATGTAACAATAGTGATGTAAGAAATTATTTCAATTACTTAGTTTAGGATACGATTTGTTGAATACTCACATATCATCACCATATCGTCCTATTAATTTTCTTAGTTCAATAAATGCATGTATAGGAGTACAGAGTTACCTGATGATCCAAATGTACAATGGCCAACTGAGATAGTGGCAGAATGTATTTTACATCACGTCGAATGTTACAAGATGAATGCAGTTGTAACGTTCGATAGGCATGGCATAAGCAGGCATAGGAATCACATCTCTCTCTACTTTGCCATTGCTGCGTTGTGTATAGAAAAGAAAGTACCATACTGTTAGTATCCTTCAGTGTATCACTGAGTCAGCACGGAACAAAGGATAAATAATTCGATCTCTTTTCAGATTGTAAGCTGTACGTTTTAGAATCAGTGAATATCTTTAGAAAATATGTACAACTTCTAGATTTGCCAATTAGCTTATTATCCGCTTCGTACTGGTATTTAGTGACGTATGATCAAAAGAGAACCATAAAAGTAAGTGTGCAGTTGTGATAAAGTCGCTCATTATATCCGTGTAGATATTAATGAAAAAAATTTCAGAAAGCTATGACTGCACACAAATCGCAGTACGTTTGGTTTCGAAAGTTGTACATGATATTTTCGCGGTACACGTTCATCAATACCTTCCAAGAAGTGAGCGCTCTTGATCTGGAATTGGACCTCCAGTTCGACGACGAGTAGTCCGCTCGCACGTTCATTTTTATCCTTGTACAAACTGTAATTAATTGTACATATCGAAATATGAGATTTCGCTATTAATAAACGATGGAAAAGGTTCTGAAAGTAACTTACGAACTATTTTCTACGAATTGATCGGACACGACGTCATCAAATAGAAAGAACATAACTTTTTATTCGATCTTACAGAAATATACAAATGTTCGTAAATAAAAGTGTAGCGTATAAACAACAATAAATTCAATTTTTATTATGTAATTTACCTCTTATATATATAATCGTTTCATCACGGACGCCCTTAAATCAAATGTAATCTCCAGTTTGATATGTATACTTATCATCTGTACATAAGTCGAAAATTTTTCTCCAAAATTGATTGTACCATTAAATGAACGTTCAATTAAATTATTTGAGCAAATACGAACTCTTTGTGTATTATATTTGTCGTTTGAAGAATATCTTAAAATTTGTCTCTCAGCAACAACTTACGATATACATATTACATATAACTCTTTACGATTTTAAAAGATTTGGCACAGACAAGCTATGTGCGCAAAATACAATTTCAACTATCTTCCTATACTTTTTATAACATTTCACAATGTGATTTGAGTTGTTCATACATTTCTACAACATCGGTAGGCGAGTGAAGTAATACTTAATCAATTACATTGGAAGAAAACATTCTTCACTACGGTGTAATTAAAAACCTAAAAAAAAGACATAACAGAAAAATAACAGCTACCTAACCCTTTTCCTCCAGCACAATTAGAGCCTTTTAATAGCAGTGTAACCTTCTCAACTTACTTCTACGAAAATATAAAAAAAGAATTATATACTGTTAAGATAATCTCTGCAAGAATGAAAAAATAGAAATAGTGCAAATCGCGTTAATTAACAGTCTTAATACAAAGAGAACACTGAAGTTGTAATAATACATTAGTAGACCGTAGATATTTTTGTGCATGCATGAAAGGACGTAATACAATATATTTGTAAGTAGTAAATATTTTAGAAAGTATATGCTCTGTGCGCGAATTTATCTCATACGTATTAAAATTACTTTCGAAACGAACCATTCTGTTATCGAATGTATAATAAGTATGGAATGTCTCGTATATCTTATGTATTGAAGTTTAATGATAATTTATGAATAACGATAACTTACTTCTTCCTAAACGTCGTCTAATTCATTCGTGAAGTTCGAACGAAAATAAATGCTTAAGAAGACAGTCGCAGAACGTGGACGGCATGAAGTGTTCCCGCAAGATCTTCGGTCAGTAAACTACTGTAACGTTAATCGATAATAAAATACTGAGTTTAGGTACGTAGAGAAGAATAACATCAAATGGTCATCGATTCTTGTAGAGTAGATCTTTGTGAACAATAATTAGAGAGGGTTCATCGCGAAGATCTCGCGGGCCGTGTCCTAGAATCTGTCTTTGCCGCGATGGTGGGAAGTCAAGGTTCCCATCCCGGATTGAGGAGAGTCGGGATCTCCCGTGTCCTGCAGGTACTGTAGTTCTTGCAACTCTTGGAACTTTTCGTGGTCCCTAATGTGCGCGTAGTTCGCGGACAGACACATTAAATAGTGTATCAGACTCAATACAACCAGCATCGTAGCTACCGTTGCCAATATGAACATCACTTCTGCTTTCTCAACGAAATCTTTACAGAACAGCTTCACTTCTTGTGAGCCACATATTTTCATATCATCCACTCGCGTACTATTCGGGAATATGAAACCTACAAGTAGAACAGTATAAAATACAAGTGCGCTTCATTAGTAAAAAAGACAAGCAAAGCACAACTTACTAAATTGAGTGAAATCGATGCATTGCTCGAGATTCTGAACTCGATGATTGCTGCATAAGCCCCAGAATATAGTAAAGATCCAAGTGATTATAACCAAGAATGCAAATATTAGGAGCCATCCTAATTGCAGTATGTAAGTGATTGTCATAAACTGAAAAATATTAAACCGTTAGAGAAATCTATTATAATTCTGTAGTATGTGAAAACAAAATTACATACAACTGCACAAGAGATCCGCCCTCCAACTCTGGATCTCCAAGCTCTATAGACCTTATGTCTTGTAGCTCCTGTCGCAAGACAACCAACACACAATATCATAAAACCCAAAGCTGCCATACTAGCACCAATTGTTGCAAATATCAGTTGAACTGCGTCCAACCATCCAAGACGAATGTGAAACACCTAGGAACATTAAATAATCAGGAATATGTAATAAACATGAAAAAGAGTTTAATAGGACAAGTGTGAGAACTTACTTGATCCATCATTAGAGAGCCTAGCGTAACGCCTCTGTACATCGTACCGCAGAAGATGCCCACCCCTAAGCAACACATTATCGTTGCTATAAGGGTTGCATACGGCACTCTGGCCATGCAATCATTACACATGCTCCCTATAAAACAATGGCTAATTTATAACACTGCTCCGGAGCGTAATAAAGAACTTCGAATTTCCCATGACCCGTGTTTAACAGTTCGTAAAGTTACGCGTTTTAAAAGGAACTTACTGCAACTTTTATCTTCAAAATCGAGTTCATGAAGGCTCCTTTCCGAAAATCTACCTATACTAATAGTACTATCAAACCGTCTACGTAACGGTAAACTGTCACTCGCGTTTTCACGGTTCCTCATATTTAATTACGATCAGCTTCGGCACCGTTTCAATAAGCGATGATTGAAACGATGAATGAGTAATCTTCTCATATACATACATATATCGCAGATAAGATTACGAATTGTATCGTATCGTACGCGATTGCTCACGCTGTCGAGCCGTTACTATAGGAAACTAAGTATTCTAGGAAAGGATGTACCTTTTTCCTCGATCACTTCCGCAGTATAAAAAAACGATTAACAAATATTTTGCTCACCCATGTTCCGACTTTGATACCGCTCGGGGTTAGGACTGTTTCAGATGGGCACTGCCCGTTGATTCCAAGCTACAAACGCTAGAATTCTCTCAATTATCGTCGTAATTGAATGTCATTCTACTGTGTTAGTGAATAACATCCTACACATTTCTCGTAATTACACATCCGCACGTTACACCACTTGATTGTAAAGGGTCCAGAGATTCTTCTCCTGACCACCTGATATCACTTGCTGTTTGTTCAGAATTCCCGAAATTACGATTTCTGTACACTTTATTTGTTTATCGCGGAGTAACGAATCGGTGGATGTTAACGCCGTACGATGATTATCACGTTTTAATAACAACGTTCGTTTTTCGGATGTTCGTTTGTTTTCCCATGACCCTTTAAAACAAATCAATATGGCGACAAAAGGTAAAAGTGAATGGGATCATTGTCCTCGATAGAGATTGTAGGGTACGCAGTAAGTAGTAAATCAAATACACACAAACATTCTCTTTCACGTCTACAATCGATTGACATAATAATTTGAAACACCTTTCAATCAAGGAGCTTTATTTCTCTGTAGTAGTAACATAATATAAATTAAATTTCCAATATATCTATATAAAAATGCATTTGTCTTATTACATTTTAAAATTAGGTCGCTCTATACTTAAGCTATATTTGACAGTTAAAATGTATAAAAATAATTGTTCTCTTATCATAATAATTAAGCTAATCTAAATCTATGTTTCATACAAAATAATTCTTCATCTAAATGTTTAGCTAAAAGACTACCGAAGACTCTTATGCTTCGGCTGGACCAGGTATTTAATTACTGTCGGCAGATGATGTAATTTTTCTTTAACGACGTAAGGTACTTCTGAATTTTGTTGATGATTCTGGTTATACTTGGTAACGCTACCGTTATTGCTCTCATAAATTATGCCACCACCGTAACTTTGAGGACTTACCTGAAAGTACTCAAATTAATCGAATTAAATTCTTACGTGTCACCTGAAAAATCAACTTACTGTTAGAGCAGAACCATCTCTATAATCGACACGAATATCTCCCGATGATAATTGCGTGGCAGTTCCGACTCCCGGAATTGGTACCTTATAAGTATTGACACTCACGTTCCGTATAGAATTCATTTTTCGTGACCGTGATGCTACCGTTGACATAACGGAACTAGCGTCGAAAGACGGCATCTGAAATATTAATAAAGAAACGTAGATTAGTATGCAATTGGTACGTGAAATAGTTTACATCTTGCCACGTACCACGGGCGTATTGTTGTTCGTTGCTTGTGAAATATTTTCTTTTCCTTGCGAGTAAGGAGAATCGCTTAAAGCCGTAAGAGGCCTACGTCCGATAATAATAGGGAAGCAAGAATTTCCAGTAGCTGCTTCCAAAGAAGTTAAAGTAGATTCGAGCAACAAACAACGCTGGTAACACTCGGAATAGTGCTCGTAATAATCGTCGAAATGCGGCGGAAATTCACCCTCGATATAAGTCGGGCCATCGCTTCTTTCGGTTATCTTTACTATCCCATCGACACGTACAACCTACGTTAATATGCACGACACGGATATTTATACAACTCGTACTGTTATTTATACACGTACCTTTACTCCATTATAAAAGTGAACTTCGCAATCTGGGTGTGGCCCGTTTTCCATAAAGAGACATTTCGATCTTTGAGTATACAGCGTTACTTTCGGAGTCTTTGCTCTCACCAGTTTTATAAAACGAGACGCGTATACGTATTTCCTATGGTGACGAGACGGCAAATTTTCATACGAGTAAATACTGTCCGCGCCACGAGCTGGTAAAGAAGGTGGTTGAGACCCAACATCCGTTGAGGTCGTCGGTTTATAAAGAATAACTCTTAAACCATCGCCCGATATTCGGCACACTTCGCTTATTTTTTCCTGTGACACAAAAACAATGATAATTAAATCATTTTTAACCACGCGATGTTTGCATACATACTGTGCCATTCCTGCGTTTGATAAACTCGATGCACACTTCCCCGTTATCTAAAATAGTAAGGATCGCATTCTTCGTTCTGTGCCTAGTCGGTTGTAATCTTTCGGAAGACAAAGGCGGGACCTGCAACTTCCGATCGTCGTCGACAATTTCGAAGCAATTCTCCGTTTTCTCTTTTTTTCTTAATTTATCACTCTTATGCTTGTCAGTCTCTTGATGCGCATCGTAACTGCTGCACTGCTCGCATTGTGAAATAATTTTACTTTGCGGCGGAAGCGGTATCCCGGCTAGCATAGAATTTTGTGTGCGATTATTGGCACAATTCATTTTATGCGTTTTTGTAATGGGTTCAGATAAAGCTTCGCTTCGTGCGCTGAACATCGGGCCGAGTCCATTCGACATTACAGGCATCGTCGACATTCTTTCTTCCGATCTAGATCGCATTCTTGGTCGTCCATAAGAAGATAATGTTCTTCCTACTCCTGAGTCAATCATACCATCCCCTAACAGTTCCTTACTCATAGCATTTCTCTCCTAGAAATAAAAATATTTCTAGTATGTCGAAACATCGGTATTCCTTTCAGATCTTTAATTATTACTTACACTGTGCAACTTATTCTTTTCTATATTAGCTATAAACGGATGTTTCGAAATATCGCGTAAACGAATCCTATCCTTCGGATTTTTCTTCAATAACTTATCTATCAGATCCTTGGCATTATCTGACAAATGAGCTGGCATCACATAATCGGCCATGACAACGCGTGTCAGAGTACTCTTAACAGCATCTGTATCGAACGGAGGTTTGCCAACTAATAGAGTGTACAGCATACAGCCTAAACTCCATACGTCTGCTTCCAAGCCATGTGACGATCTCGTTGCTATCTGTAGTAACATCAAAAATTAATATGGTACAGACTCTACGTATGTAAGCACATCATTTGACAGACCTCAGGAGATATGTAATTAGGAGTACCGCACATAGTTAAATGTTTCTCATCAGGCCTTGTCAATTGGGTCGCCAGACCAAAGTCTGCTATTTTCTATAAATTAAACAATTATATTGCTGTTACTCAGCTTTGTGAATGAGTTATAGATTTTTAATATATGTAATTATTCTTACCACTTGCATGTCCCTGCTTAGAAGTAAATTGGATAAGGACATGTCCCTGTGAAGTATCTGATGGGAATGCAGATATAATAATCCCTGTACTACTTGTCTAATTATACGAGCAGCTAAAATAATAGAAACATCTGTAATATAAGAGCCTATAAAATAATGATGTTGTACTTAATTACCTTGCTCTTCAGGCAATGCGTGAGAGCCTTGCATTTTAAGGAAACGCTGGAGCTCCCCATTATGGCATAATTCTAATACTAAATAAACATAGTTGGCATCTTCGAAGAATGTGTACAATTCAAGAACTGCAGGATGCTTCAATCTCGAATGTATCGCCACTTCTTGACGTACTCTACCCACCATCCCAGCAGCTTGCATTAATTTCTTGTCGATCTGCATGCAAAGCAAACGTTTAGTTTGGACATATTTAATAACAAATAGAATCATTCGTTTAACTTACCATTTTGATCGCAACTTCGATGCCACTGCGAAGACATTTTGCTCGATATACACTGGCGAAGCCGCCTTTCCCAAGTAAATTCAATACCTCGTAATCCTAGAGTCAGGAGTACGATTAGTTAAGTGTTAGAAATGGTGCAGGCCAACGTACAGATTCAAAAAGCCAACCTCTATCTGTTCGCCGAAACCTCCGGACAGCGGTGGCATTTCCAGCGTCCAAGGATTCAATCACTTTTTCAATCAGCACAATCACCAAATATCACCGAGTCTCATTTTTATTCGAAACCAAGTGTACCTTAGAAATATATGATTAAAATTTGTAAACATTAATGACATGGCGCGCTCGCCATCCGTAAATCGTGAACGCTGCAGGTGGTGGCGTGTTTCCGTAGACTAGATTTCAATTGTTGATTCAAAATGTTAATTCATGTATTTAATTGAACCTCCTTTAAATTTAAGTGTTTCTAATCATGAATGAAAACCATTGACAAAGAGATTCCTTCCATGTGATTCATTGCTTGCATTTCAAATTTCCGTCACCGTAAATGATCTCTGAAATGAACGAGAAAACTGACTTGGACCCTGAATACAATTGGATCGTACGAACTTGTACGAACGCATTCAACGTCTATTTAACTATGATCCACTTTACTTTTTACGATAACACTGTAAACATGCAACCGAACAGCACTTGTAAGTTATAAATGGTTTCATTAAAAGCAGAAATTATCATACGTATATGATTTATCACATAGTCGTGTTCAACTCTACTCGTGTTCAATTTTAAAGAATATAATAATAGTTGCAGAGGCTCTGTCGTACCCCATATTAATGGGATTAGTGGACCTCGTGGTGTACTCCATATTACAATGAAAATAAGTGACATAAATCCTTTACCGATGTGAAAATCATTTTTGAATAAATCGTTGCCAAATCGTACAGTTGAATTGCTGGTGCATATAAATTAGGGACGTGATGATTTGCTAAAGAATTTTTCAAATCGACCGTATACGCAGTTTTCTGTTAATATTCATGAATTATTTACAGAAATTAAAAGAACTGCGCGTACACATTTACATATCATATAATATTCACAATTTTTGAATATACGGAACGTAGTATTTACATCGCGGTTTGGACAAAGGTAAAGATAAGCAACGTATTGTAAAAAATATTCAAAACTTATATTTTAAATCGTTCTCGTGGAAATTCTCGGCAAAAGAATTGTACAAGGCGGTTAATCATGTTCTAAATATCGTAAGGATAAGATGGGAAGAGGAAGAAAGGTGTGTGGCATATAATACAATCACTAATCTTCATGTTCCAAAAATATTATAGCTCTTTCTACACAATACTTTCACGCACATTCGCTCTTACACTCTGCTTACTATATAACTGAATCGTTTAATTAAGTCGTACATTAATAATACAGGTTTGTAATTGAATAACCGCGGTAATTGGTTTTGTATACTTATTTTTCGTTTAAAAATGATGCATAGGTGTACGATAGACCGCCGTTCTACCGTAACATCTACTATTTGTTGTTGGATAAATAAATTAGACATTATAACTGAATGATTTAAAAGGCAGAATATCGTAAAATATATATATATATATATATCTAACTATCATTATTTCTCTCCGTGATACGAAATCATAAATGCCGTTCATACGCAAAAGGAACGCTATTTAAATTATTTTTCGTTCGCAACTTAGCGTGGCCAGGGTGAACGGGCGCTATGAAAAAATGAACTTATTAATATTCCTCCTTTTGTCCTTGTATCCTGGCAGTAGGAAAAATGAAATGAAGCAATTCTTAATTAAATTTATAAATAACATGACCGTCTTAATTGCTGGTAGACATATTAAAATCGACAAGTAGCATTACGCTGTCAAATAAAAAAAGAGTGTATCTCCGTCGACTGTCTTGGCTACGGCAGTCGATGGATCATAACTTATTTACAAGAGTCTATAGGATTAATTATATTTCCATAATTTATATTTACTCTGTACAACGCGCGTTTCGAATTACTACGAATGAATATATTTACAATTTGGCGGTTTATTAAAATATTTAAAAATTGATGCGATACGATGCAATCGCGGCACACTATCAGTTTGCTTGATTTGGTCGTCGGTAATAATGCGACTTTTAATAATGGAAGAAGTTCGGATCAGTTTCCCACTGACTTGTCTCTCATCAAAAATAATACAGATATTTACCGAAGTCCGCCCTTTTCTATAGGTCACTATGAAATTATTATCTGTGTTCACCGGCTTTTTCATTCGTTTCAACATAATACGTTTATACTTCACATATATTTTCTTTATATTACCATTGTGATTCTTCTTTAGACTTCAGTTTAACGTCTTTCTTTAAATATAAGCGTGAATATTCATCTTGATAAGTAGCACATTGTGTAGTCGACTTATTAGGTTTCTGTATACTACTCCCGACTGGTGAATTACTGGGCGAATACTTCATTTCTTGTAATTCCTGCAACTCTTTCAATGACCTCATCACCATTTGAACGTCTTTCTCCTGTTCCGATGGCTGGACCGCGTTACTCGCAGACTCTTCCGCGACGAGCCCAGCATCCTTTCGTTTATCAGAGATTCCTTTCGAAGGCGCGTCGTCATTGAAGATTTGACTTAAATAATTAGTAGCAGCAATCGTCTCCTCGTTCTGTTTCTGTTCCTGTTCTTCTTTCGTAAACAATGGTTTCTGTTGCTGCTGCTGTATAGGCACTACATCTGAATTAACATGTCCTACTTGTTTCTCTAATAACTTTTGATCCTTTTTCCTCTTCTTCGTATCATGCGATTTGTGTTTCACTTCCGTGTTCCGCTTTTTATCTCTCTTTTCAGTCTTATTAGCCATATCTAGATCCCTGTCTTCTAATCTCTTATCATTCTTCGTGTCTGCGTTCTCGTTTAATTGTCTATGCTTTATAGATACTGATTTCGAATGTGTAGAAGCTTGATTCGACGTGGGATAGTTAGAATATTGCGAATGCGTAGACGAATATGAAGCTTCCTGTCTGTGTACGGAATGATGTCCACTTTGAGGCACTTCATTTGTATTTGGAAGAACATTTGAAGCTTCAGAGAAAGGAGTAATAGAAACTATATCTTTTTTATTTTCATTAATCTTGATAGACGATTTGTGAAAGTCATTAACTGGTGTGATCGAGAGGGAACTATTACCTAAATCCATTAAATTAATCTTCTCTATGTGACTTTTAACCGGTTTCTGAGCCATCAACTGAGACGTAGGCACAACAGAAATTTTACCTATGCTGGAGTTACTAGAAGATACAATCACTGAATTTTCATGATGTTGCCCTAAGCTGCTGGGATCCTTGATTTTATCTTTGCTCTTTATACTATGTTGCTTTTTCTCCGTGTTCTCACTTAATTTCGAAGTTCCTTTTAAATAACTTGTAGAATTTTCCGTAGTATTTTGAATTTTCGGCGGGTTCGCTGTAATTTTCTCTTGCAAGGGAACGGTACTTGTGGTCGACGCCTCAAGCCTCGCAGAACTGTAAATCACATTTTCCGATGAACTCGTACCCTTACCGTTGCCGATCTCTTTTAATTTCTTCGCTTTCTTCTTTATGCTGAAAGAAAATTTGAATGTTAAACAAAAGTCATGTACGGCCCTCATATACAATTACTTACGTAGGCTCGATGCCGTCGATGAATTCCAGTAAAACCTTCGCTGTCATGTATCCATGCGGCCATAATGGTAACAGTTGTCGAACCATAAAAGACTCGACGTAAGTGAACAGACTTAATTTCCTAGGTCTCGAAACGTTGTAACATTGACTCCTCATAGTTGCGATTTGAGTAACGAGTTTTCTGTAAAACAAACATTCCTGGTCCATTCTTTTAAACATAAAACTTTCCGAATTTATGATAAACGATATTTACTTTGCTTCCTCGGTCCAAGGAAACTGCTTTTTCGGAAGTTTCGATTTACTTATATCGTCGCGCACATCGTCGTCGGAGCTCTCAACATCCTCGGGTGATCCTTCCTGCTCCCTGGAATAGAAACACTAATTGTGAACTTAGGGAATTAGGGTATCATGAAAAGAAATGAAAACATGATGATTATGGATAATCTGCAACAAGAATGTATTATGAGTCCCTAAAATTGTAATACATATTGAATCGCTTTTTTCGGTTTTATTATTTAACGATGATATTTATGATAAACTAAACACTGTACTGATGATAAAAAGCCCCGTATTTCTGATTATTTCAAAAAATATATAAGAAATGAAAATGTAATTATAATTTTTGAAGATGAAAACAAGGAAAATATATGTACAAGCATGAGTAGGGCAGGAGAAAACAGATTGAAGGAAGGAAAGATAAAGAACGATCAGAAAAATGAAAATAGAAAAAGGCTTCTTCTTAAGGGCACCTTACCAACAGTACCGGTATATATCCCAGTATAAATGAGGACTAAGAAATAAGAAAATAGTAGTAAGTTTCCATCCGAAGTATTATAATTCATTGTTTAACTTGTTCATAAGAATCTTTGTCTCTATATCAATTTACTACTTCACTAATTAGAGGAACGCGAAAAACAATACTTACTTTCTTTCAGCCACCTTTTGACACTCATCCTGATATTTACTTATAACAGATGGCATTATATCATCAATCTCTTTTTTTAAGCTGTAATTAAAAAATGCAATTATAGAAGTCATGTATAAATTAAGTTTACATCGATGCGTTTAAGACAAGTTTACAAAAACATAGTCATCTTACCTTTGTATAAGTTCTGTAGTCTTGTATTCGATATCTTCTACGAACAATTTTTTTGCTCTATTCTGAAGTGCTACTTTACTACACGGTAAAAATCGTGCGAGATGTCCATACGTTTGTAGCCTTAGGCTCGGGGTCGAAAGCGCCCTTAGTCTTTTCTCTAAACTGAAATAGAAATTCTATGTTTATACCTTCCAAAATATACGAAACATGTTATGAATCGCTTACTTAAATAATAAATTATTCACTGATGTGTCGAAAAATTTAGTCTTTCCCTCTTTATTGTTTTCGGCATGCGCCTTCAACTCATTGATTGTTATTATAATATTTTCTGGAAGAGACTCGGGCAATGGCGCTTCTTTGTCAGCATCGTCGCCCTCGGATTCTGTACCTATACACCGAGACTGAGAATCTGATGTATCCCTACTCGATTCATCTTCGACTCGTGCTGCATTAACCACACTTTCTATGGCATCGTCAATGTTACTATCTTTATCACCTAATTTCTTTAGCTCTAATTTTTTACTATCGAAACCATTACTATTCGACGCTTTCTTCTCGAATTTTTTTATGTCGAATTTCTTATCTTTAGGTCTTTGCATATCTGTTTTCTCCGACTTCTTCTTCTCTTCCTGATCCTCTGAACCTAAAATTAATGTCACAGCTCATTATCACGTTCTAATAACTAATTAACAATTTCATATAAATATTTTGACACCTTCGCCATCTGTAGTTTCTCCCTTTTCTTTCCGTCTGCTCAGACCGTCTCCATCCAATTGAGAATTTTGCTGATCTTGTAAATTGTGTGGCTTCTTTTTCTTCTTAATAACATTTTCAGATCCTTTCTTCTCGTAAGTTTCATCTACCTTTTGTTTCTACAGATAAAAACGAAAATATTTAGAAAGAATATTTACAAGAGCCGAGTTAAAAATAATATTCTAGTTTAATTCCAGTCACTTTTCTCTGTTGATCAGCAGTGGTAATATCTTCGGTATCCTCTTCGTCCGATGAACTGAAATTCCGTTTCTCCGGCCTTTTAGGACTGTCCACATCTTCCGTATCTTCTTCGCTACTTTCACTGCTCTCATCATCGTTACTTTGATTATTGTTATTATTATTAACCACCGGCTGTCGATCTACTGTCTTGAATTCAAGCGCTCCGCTATTTATGTAAAAGCCTCCATGTGCCGTGGTCACCTCTTCCGGTACGATCTCATCGTACTAAATGGATTACGTGAGATAAAACACTGGGAAAAGTAGTTAAAAAACAATAATAATAATTAAATAAAGTACGTACTGCATCAGTATTATCGATAAAAGGATCATTCTCATCGTATCCGGCTCCCAAGTCCACGTAATCGTCATATTTACGCCTTTTAGTTCCCTGTACAAACATTAAAAATGCATCAAAAACAATGAATTTATCGTACTCGTTATTTTATCGGAATTACTGCACTTGTAAAAAAAATTACGTTTTACATACATATTTCGCCTCAAACCTTCTTGCCATATCACGGAGTTTATCATCGTCATCGTCCTCGTCGAAAGGCAATCCATTGGTGGTAGTGTCGTCCCGTTTCAAATCTTTCCTGCGCTTCTTCTACAAAATGAAATTATTCGTATTTAGCTCGCGAAGAAACAGTCGTTAACCGGATATCAGCTGATACCACGTGACCGGTCACGGGCTATTTGAATTTCGTTCGCGTACTTTCACTATTTTGTTAAACATTAAAGCGCACTCACGCGCATGCACACGTTTCATTGGCGATATATTATGTCCTAAAAACTTGAAAATCTAAATTCATCATGTATTGATGTTGCGTTTCTTTCTGTTTATTTATTGATAAATGTTTAAACAAAATATTCGTTTCCCCAATTGTTTATGCAGATAAGAAAATGCACGTTTACAAAAAAAGAAGAGAAAAAGCAGAGAGAACGAGTAAACAAACGAATTCAAAAGAGGGCATAAATCGTCCATTCATACCAGGAGCACATACGCGCGGAATATCACTCTGTTGCCCTTTCTTTCGAGGCGCGCAACTCCTTGTTGTCTTCTGTTCTCCTAGTACGAGGGACGCTACGGCGACTGATTGATTCGAACAAAAATATCCTTGTCAATAATATAAATATACAATACGCTTTATAAACTATACTCGAAATAAATTCAATAACCGATAAATATGTATATATATATATACGTATATAAATTACGAAATTATATGCCTATATAATCGATACTACATACAGGCAATATATACACAGATATGTAAATTCTCGTAAGTATTATCATCAGCATTTACATACTAACATTTTATTTGCATACAACGGTTTCATTTCGTACATGGTGTCGCATGACATAGTTAAATAAAAAATAGATACATAACGTATAAACGAGTTTTATCGAGATAATAATACCGTTTCGAAGATCCAAGAAATAAATCGGACGTCAATTTTAAAATAAAAATGATATACCTCTGCGTTACAATGTAATGAGAGAAAGAAGGCAAGAAGTGAAATTTGAATACGAACGGTAACAATAGGAATATACATATAAAACAATGTAATGCAATTCACATTGTATTAAAACATTTGTCTAGCGCGAACTGATGTGTAATGTGTTTCATTTCTTTGTGACGACTTCCGTCACAGTGCATCGATTATAAACTAGATAAGGATACAATTGTACGTGAAAGATCATTGAGATAAAACAGAGCATTAAGCTGTTGTTTATGAATACATTCAGAAAAAAGAAAGAGTTAACGAACGCATCGTATTTCGATAAAACAAACACAAAACGCGCACGTAGAATCGAAGTGAATCTCGCACGAATGAGTTCGCAATACCGAATGATATTCGATTATCTAATAATTCAATGCCTTTTTCTCGAATGCAGGATAATTATTTTTATGAACAGCGGACGTAAAATTGCTCGTACGCGATCGTACGTTTGAAACGAGGCATGAAACATACGGTGCTGCAAGCATATGTATGCTGGACGCGGGCATGCACCGGCAACGCGCTGTGACGTTTCTATTCGATGGCTACGAATTGATCACACCTTTTCCAATCGGTTTAGACGTAATATTTAACATGTCCCAACGAAAGAAGCGAACGAAATAAGATGAAACAGATCGGTGCGTGGCCGCGACTCACGCGGTAACCGCGACATGACAATTCGCACGGGCAAACGCATGCATGCTCGTCTCTGTTTCGTGTCGTCTGAAAATGGGCGATTCCATTGGGATTTTTGCAAGTTTCTTGTCAAAGTGCGTACGTGAAACGAAGCCGTGGTCGATGCATTTCGCACCGGCCTATATGTTTTGGTAAAAATGCGGGCGTATAGGATAGACATCCGGGATTTTGTTTTAACTTTGGATAAACGGAATAAACGGGTGAAAGGAAGGAACTGACCTCCTCTGCTTTGAGTAGCTGTGCGTAGTTGTACTCAGGACATTGCTTCTCGTTCGACTCTGCCAGGGTAAGTGTGAAGCGGACGGAGGGCGCGAACTGTTTGCCCTTTTCCCCTTTTTTCTCCTTTTTCGTGGCGTAGCCCAAGGACTCCGGAAACTCCAAGGTCTGCGAAGGTACCCGTTTAGCTTCTGACATTCCTACATTTGCACCGAACTCAATGCGGATCACGGAAACACTGCGAACACTGCGGCAACAACATGGTCCTTTCTCTTAAATACCGCACCGACACCGCCACTTGCACGTCGCCATCTTCGGCTCGACTGTTTTTAGAGTGCGCTGTTGATGCCGCCGCCACACCGTCGATCTAAGGCATGCGCACGGAAACACGCGAAAAATCTCAAGTCTCGTTCTTATGAAACGATTTACCGAGTCCCTCGTCGTGAGAATCTGCCACATTTGATAGGATCCATGCGCCAGACTTTAAATTAATCAAAAGTAAAGCAGTACACGCGTCACCGGCGAGATATTGTTAAAGAGTGGCAGTGTAATTGTTGGAATAGTCCAATGAAGCTGAAAACAATTGACAATCGCTTTTTTCAGTGGTAATCGGCACCGAGGAAGTCGGTAAATGGCTATAACGGCACACCGACGAGTTTGGTTTGATAGGCAATAGATAATGATGATAGCTTGAGTCACAACTTTAGTCTTATGAAAGATCACAATTCGATTTGTTTAAATCATTTATTAGATATTTTGGTACAAAACTTTACAAGTATGTATCACGTATGAATAGCCTGTTCATAAAAAAAAATATACAAAATATTTATAGTAGGTGTCTATCTCGCTTATAAGAAAAATGTAGAGTGCCACATTTTTTGCCTGTAATGGTAAAGTCATGTCAATTGTAAAAACCATAAAATTAAAATAGCTTAAGTTAAAATCTATATCTATAAATACGTTAAAATGCATTTATAACAATGCTTAATTCCCGTTTCTTATTTAATAAGGAGTATCTGCGTTTTCATTGATTTCCTGTCGCTGTGCAATTTTAATTGCAGAAAATTGCTGACCTAAAATTTTCATCACCTCGCCATGTCTCATGTTACGCTCTTTTTTCACGGAATTGTAGTTCTCTTTCACGAAAAGCGCAAATTTGGAAGGCTCTCTCTTCGGTGTTTGCACTTGAATAGTACCAGATTTCGTTGTCTTATTTAATAGCAACTCGAATCTACCGTAACAATGACCACAGCGTTTTCTTTCCACATCTAATGATTTAGAATGTCTACCGATGCTGTAATAAAATTTAGAATTGCTTCATTGTACTCGAATATTTCTTAATTTACGCAAAGTATTTTACCTGTATCCGCAGCCTACGCATCTGTACGTAAATTTGGTTTTGATCTTGTAATCGTGACACCTTCTAATTGGCGGTATTTCAGGAAATGTTCGCATAGCCTTGTTAGCCCTTCAACATGAAGCGCACAAACGTTTATATTTATGTTTTAATTTAATGAGAAAGTTGTTGCTTACCATTGCGTCCAGAGTGGACCGTGTCCGTCAGAGACACCATTTATCAACCAGGCAGCAGCATGACACATTTCATGAATCAAAGTGTCTCTCAGTCTGTCAGGAGTATCTAAAATCTAAATGCGAAGGATCATTTACTTTATGTTTAAACTAATGTTTTTTCTTAATAGATCACGTACCTTCGTTGCTAAAACTATTCGCGACGATCTTACGACACCACCGAGTGTCCTCACTGATTTCTTGTTGTAACAATAACCAGCGGTTCCTCTCATGCGAATATTCCAGTCTATAGTCATATTTTCAGGCAATTGCTTGTCAAATACTTTTTCATTATATAATTTATACAAATATGTGCACAACATCTCTTTGTTATCTTTAAAATTCAGTCTATATTTCTTAGCATCTGGATGCGCTTCAGCGATAGGGACGTTTTCAGATAACGATGCCAAGAAACTGTTACATTTCTTGTACTTCGATGCATCAACATTTGTTTTACTTTCAACAGTTGGTTTAGGTAATTGACGTACAATTTTAGTGGAACCTATAAAATATTCTCTTTACATAAGACATGTTACACATATAATTCAATGTACATTACCTTTTTTAGAAGTGGGTTTAGGTGGCACGATATCGCCAGGGTCAAATTCGCTGGTACTTGTATCTTCGCTTTCATCATTACTAAATGATAACTTCCTTCCTCTTACATTAGACCCTTGATCTCTGTTGTTTTTCTGATTTTCATCTTCTGTGTCCGTATCACATATTACGAACAAACTAAACAGGAAAAAAGATTATTACAAGGCTTTTACAATTTTTATTATGTATATTTATATAGTACCGATTGTTGATGGGAGGAGCTTTTGATTTTGATTGTGTACTGCTCGCTGATGTTCTAGGATTTGTCAATGCAGTATAATACAAACTTTCCGAGTCACTTCCTGAGCTCTCATCGTTAATGAAGCTATCTTTTCGTTTAACAGTGTTCTGAACGGTTTGTTTCCTTGGCGAATTTTGTACATTTAAGTCCTTTAAGGCTATATAAAATTTCAAATAATTAGTACAAAAAAAAATATGATACAATTATTACGCAGTCACTTACACGTGTCAGAGTCATCATCTGTGTCTGATATATAAGATTTTTTCCTCCTTATTTGTTTCCTGTAGACAGATTTAGATACTTGTATTATTAAATTACTATTGATGCAATTCTCAAACAACATTTATAATTTACCTTTCAGTTTGAACAGCTCTACTTTTTACAGGAACCGCTTGCTTACGTGGTTCAGAATTTGGAAACAGTACGTCAGCTTTATCACGCCAAGATTTACCGTATAGTTTGTCTAATATATGCGCACAGTCCATGATGTCCACATTTTTCTGTTCATTAGCAGTTGAGAGAACGTTACTCTTAGCAATAGTCTTTTTTGATGTAGACAAAATTAATTTATTATCTTTCGTTTTCTGAACAAACTCATTTATTGTTTTTTGTCGTACTACAGTCCCAGGTGTTTTATTAGTGTCTGGATGTTTAATTTCGTTTTCAACAGGCTGCTGATGTATTCTTCCTCTGTTATTTGGAGTTTCATAATTCCTTTCTAATCTCTCTAAACTACTATTACCCGAGGTTGTATCGTCTTTATTGCTGGGAGGCACAATGCTAAAACTATCATCTTGAGATTCAGATACATTTGCCATAAGCCATTGTGAGATCTGCTCTTTCTTTCTCTCTGATAATTTAGTATACACTGTATCTACGTTTTTTTCCACAGCTGGCGTATTAAAATACTTGCTCACATGAGTTTCACCATTTCCTAAGTTTTCTTGGGTATCTGGAACGATCTCGTTTTCAGAATCTACCGGAGTTTCAGGAATAGGTCGACTTCTAGGCGAAATAGCAGGATGCCTGATATTATCATTTACCTCTTCATCAGATTCCACATTTGTCTTTCGCACTTTTGGTGAATCATATACTATTCGTTTAGACTTGATATTTTTCATGATATTCCTAGTGTCTTTTGGAGTAAGGGTTTTCTTAATATCATTATAATTTTTAAGTATAGAAGATATAGTCTTAGTTGGTTGAATATTGACATTAGAATTCTTGGGTTCTTTTCTATTAATGACAGAACTTGGTGCTGTGTATTTTTCATTTCTTGTATTCAGATCGGACTGACTATTTGTTTTAGCACTATTTGTTGTACAAGAGATATAACTACTACCAGTCTTATCTGAACTTGCAACATAGTTCTTAAGAAAATCAATACTACTAGAAGATTCATCAGATGTATACATATTTTCTGATTCAGTATTCTTCCACTGGTAATTATTGACAACAGACTTTTTATTTTCTTTCCATGCTTCCAGATAGTTATCATTTTCACTCTTTTCGGAATCTGTAGAATCATTAATATATATTGTTTTCTCTTTCTTAGGAAACTTCTTCACTATCGTTTTCAGTCTGGAGACATATTTAGGAGAACAGCTTGATTCAGAACTAGAATCACTGATCACTATCACATCATCGTCGTTTGTAACTTCAGTTTCAGATATGATAGAAGTTTGGGACAATTTTAAACAGAAGTTTTGCGAATTATTCTCCTCCATGGTGTCGTCAACTTGCCATTTGATATCACTCAATTCTGTACATTTTCCAGTATGTATTCCGTAGTTTGCTTCATGCAATAAGTCATCCTCTACGAAGCAAGAACGATTATTATTATACAATTAAACAGAAATTGTATTGAATTCATAAATTAATTTACTTACTATGATTAGACATCCTTTGTCACGTAACAATCCTGAAATCTAGCAATCCGGTAGTATCTATCTATACTTTGTTTCAATTCCAAAGCATGTCCTTATGCGAAGGATAAGGATGTAAACAAAAGCAAAAAGTGTGAAACAGCAGTAAAATGATCACACAAACTCGACGAATATTAACAAAATAAATATTGTTGCACTCATTTCAATTCTTCCATTTTATTACAATACGATAAATCATGTCGTACCATATTATTATTGTAAAAATTGGTAGGAAATGTTTTCGAGTTCAGTAACTGACATCAGAGCAGTATCATTTAAATTTATAGTGCCTACATTCAATTACATCTGTTGCTGCTTGGTTCACGTGGTTACGTACACACAAATATCATTCATGTGAAGTAAGCCACAAGACCAGATTCGTTGGGACTGCGTCTACATTCGAGAAACGATACTTTACTAACTTCATATCTATTATGTTTAATTACGATTGGTCAGGAGTTAGGATACATGATTATATTATTTCGTGCGTGGAAGCACAGATGAGGTATATGTACTGGCCTATCACACAACCACATCTATCCACTTTATCATATATTATCCATATGCTAGCAGACACTCATCGAGACTGGTGAAAGTGTCGAGACCGTCGAGACTGTCGAGATGTCTCGGCAAGACTCTTACCGAGGTGGAGTGGTACCTGTTTGCCTCGCCACAGGCATTGCTTCGCCTTGGTTCGAGTCACGAAATTGTTAGACTTTTGTATGGACGTGGATGTTCTCACACTGGCACCTTGTAATAAAAAAATCAATTCGAAACCTGAATGAAAAAACTAAATAATAGAAACCTTTTCACGTTGCAGGAATTATTTAAATCTACTATTCTACTATACATATGTTTTATTCACATCAGAATTACAGTAATCATATCCAGGATTTGAGAGTAGTAACGCATTTTTATTAAAGAGAACGTTCACATCTAATTATTTGCCACTGATCGATCGTAAGGTACTTATATGCGAATATTAATCATCGAATGATAGTCGCGAGTTCGGAGAAACCCCTCATCCGCCAACACGCGTGCACGCGTACCTGAGCGAATGAATAGTTATACGCTGCGCCTTTTTCTGCCCTACCCGGGTAATTTCGGTATTTACAGGATTAACGTACGCGCTATGAACAATATATATAAAGCGATGGGTTTCCGATAGATCGGGAGGACAGCTGCCGCGGACGCGCGCCGTTAAGCCGCTTACGTCGACTCATGAACATTTTTGCGCTTTTTTGGAAAATCGATCCCTAATCTGACAGCCATTGGAATTATCGGTAATTTCCTACGAATGAAATGATAATTGATTCGAGGGATCGGAACCGAGGGACACGAACCCTTCGCCCAACGCAACTGTACGTTTGCTATTATAAGAATACCATATAATCTTACTGTTTCAAAAATGGACCAGAATTGAGATGAAGCTGCATGATTGGTATTTTCACCATTCTGCTATTGAATAATTACGTTGTAAATTTCATTGAGTATTCGTTCGATAAATGCTCGTATCGTATCCGGTGTGGAAACTTTCGACAGGGGAATTATTGGTACGAAGGATGGTTCTTGTTCTAAAGCAGCGGCAACGTTTATAAAGGGCTAATTCTGAGTTATGTCGAACATATCGTGCGAGATTACAAGTTACGAATGAGGCTCATATATCGCCGGATTACGCGGCGTTTGATGCGGACTTGAAAGGAGAACCACAGGCCTGAGCAAATAAGGCGAATGGTAATAGCCGGGACCTTTCGCGAGATCGGCTTGCCAACGGGAGCAAGTCAAACGTCAGGCCGCAGTACCGCGGTTGATACGTGTGAATATCTGGAAACGGTAGCATATGTCCGTAAAGGCAATCGCATAATTCACGGGGAACGTCACTTTTCGAAAGGATCGATCGACGGTACGGTTTGGCGGCGTGCCACTAAACTTCGCCCATTGATCGTGCCTCTTCGGCTTAGACCTAACAGAAATTAGCTTCGCGAATAAAATTGATTTCTCGATTGCGTGCTATTACAAGTTCGAGTAACGAGCGTTGTTTTCGCGATTCGTATTTACTATTGCAGTTATTGAAAATAAGTCTCGACGAAGCCAATAACGTATAACGACATAATTCAACGTTGCGCGATTTATCGGAAAGTAACTTTTAATTTTAGTCATAAATAAAGAGACAATGGATATTAATTATCTCCCATCCGGAGGCCATTATTCCTCGGTCGAATGAAAAAGTAATTAAATTTTTAATTCAGGTTCCGAGCAATCTCGCATCTATGGAAATAACGCTCTTTGTATCAATTTTGTATTTCTAGTCGAACTGCCAGCCGCGGTTTTTGTGAAAAAAATCTTTTCAAAAGAGCAGTTTAGTTTTAGCACGAGTCAATATTTGACATGGAATGCGCTCGATACAATACTCCTTTGACTCGGTCGAGTTGAACTAGACACTTTTTCATGGACAATGTTATTTCAAAGTTGCTTTGACGAAGTTATCGACCCTGTCCAAAAATATATTCCACCACGAGCAGCACCGATACACCTTCATTTACTGCGATTCGAATAAGTTTGCTAATGGACAATTTTTGCACGCGAGCAATCGTGAGAATAAATTTGCTCGATCGGAACGTTCGTCCTGCAGGATGTATACGCGGCATAATTTATCGCGAGGTGAGCATTGCGTAACTAACGTGGCATAACTAAAGACGGGGTCTACCGGCACTCGACGCCACTCGAACACAATATCGAGACGCTTTCGTTGAAACGGTGTCTCTCCGCGTGTCGTTCGAGTTTACGTTGGTAAAAGGGGGCTCGAACACTGTCAACGTTGCACAAGCGATTCGATCCGCATTTACGCGCGCCGGGGAGACACGTTGGTTAACTAGTCGCGCTCTCCCTCTGCCTGCTGTTTTCGCCCATTGAAACGCTGCCGGTCGAATAGAATGAAAATTAAAAGCTACAACTGCCGAGGCCATTATTCGCGACACCTTCGACGGGGATCTACGCAAATTAATGGTTCCGAGCTCGGTCCTATTTTAACAACGATCGAGAAGTCCGTCCGGATCGTTCTCGTCCAATTTCCCTTCTCGGAAGCTGAATTTCCCTCTCGCGGATCGCCCGGCTGTTTTTTTCCTGGAAATATTGTTCATCAATATAGAATTTAATAAATGTCAAAACGGCGTATGATATCGAAAGAAGAATTTAATAATATCGTAGGGACCTTTCCCATGTTTATTTCCGGATATTAAAGTACGTATGCAATAATGGATTGCTGAATGAACTAAAATTGCAGTTCGTTCTGATTACCGTAATGAATTCTGTATTTAGAAACGAAACGAGAAATTACTTTCATTATCCTTGATTCCCTTTGCCACACGACCTCGTACCACATTTGATTTGAATAAACATAGTTGGTATTTAAATTTGCACGAAGTGCAATCGACGGAACGTATTTTGTTTTATTGCTCGTCAGCGATGAGAAAAAGAGAGGAGCGAGAATTAATCGCAGCCGCTGCGAAAGTTCCCGGCGGTAACGAGCTAAATGAAATTTCCGTCTCTGTTTCAGAAACGGCGAGCCGACCAAGTACCTAGTAGTCGCTTTTGTTATCGATTTTCTCGCCTCCCGGAGATACCTCCTGTTCTTACCCGGCGAAATCGTTCCAATGAAATGGACGCCGGTTTAACGGCGTTCTCGATACTTTATCGCGGAGTTGTAAAAAAGCGAGGCGACCTTGAGGAACTAAACCCAATCGCATTTACAATTATCGCAGACGCATGCAAGTTTTATTAACAGATATTGAACAGGAATTACAAAGTCGATCAGAGATTTCTGTTACCAAAAATGTGGCTTTCGTTGAATTCACAGGCCATTGGTTATTGAATGGGACACGCGTTTCTTTCATTGGAACCGTCGAGTATGGCGTGTCGTACCTGTTTTTGTAGAAACCACTGGAGAGACTGTCCGTCGGCTCGGCGGTTAATCGAGTGGCTGGACGCGTTGGTTAGAACGAACCAGAGAAAAATCACTGTCTCCTTTGAAAAAGTGGAGGGGGCGGGGTGGAGAGAAGGACCGATATTTTTCTGACACCTGGCTGCATGTTAGCCCGTACGCGACGCGGTTTCATCGGATCGGAAAATTGCCGTAAAATTGCCGCAAAAAGCGATATTTTATTCCTTTCAGAGGCACGATTTACCAACCGCGTTGCACAGATTCTTGGGGATGTTTATGGGATTTTATGGACTCGTGTCATCCCCTTGTTCGGAGGGGGAGGACCGTGTACACCTGGCTGGATCCAAGAATAATAACTATCTAACATATGCAGTGGTGTATATTAACATCTTGTTTCTGCGTAAATAAATGTCGTTTTGTGTTCGAAGTTATAAATCGTATCGCATGTTTTGATTCGTCATTCATTAATATTGAAGATGAAATAATTTTTTGTATAGTAGGCATTCGTAGAAATTCATTTAATCATTTAGGAGCGTGCAAACTGATGAATTATTTGAATGAAATACAAAGCATGTGTTTTATATACGCCAGTTTAATATACAAATTGTCTACATTGTGCTATGTATAGTTCTTCAACAAGAATATTGAATTCGCAGATAATCCAGTTTCCTTGATTTTCTAAAGGTTACGAGACAAAGGCTTAGAAAAGGTTGATAGCGAGTTGTCGAGATCGCGGAGGAGTATTTGCACGGGTGCACCATTTGGCCGATGGGTCGACTAGTTTAGCCAATAAACTTCATTTTATCGGCTCCTCGTTTCTACGATCGACGAGTGTTCTTCAAAGTAGAACCAATTACGAAAGCCTTAAAAGTTTCAATCTAACGTATGTCGCAGTGAGATATTTCACGAAACGCGTACGAGCTTCTATAGAATTTTTGCTTATGGGAACCGCAGGGGTTCGCGGTTCCAACCATAAATGGGATTAATCACGGAATTGACGCGAGCCGACAATGCGCCAGTTAGACGACGCAGCCTTCATCAGCCGGTGTCTTCAGGAATTATTATCCCGGCACGCGTTTATTATGCGACACGTGATCGACGGCGTGTTCCCGCGGCACGCATCCAAACGAAATTACATCGCAATCTATCGTTTATTGTGTCCAGCAGAAAACGAAGTTCCATTCGGAAACGGTTTAACTCGAGGAGTTTTTATTGTCTGCCCAGAAAATACGGCCGTGGTCGTAAAAAATGTTACGGTTAAAGTACGTTTCAAGTTAACTTTTTATCCCGCGGAATGTATTTCAGCCGAAGTTCGCGCGGTGCTGAATATTTCTTGAAGTTGAAACTGTGGCAACGAAGTTTCACACGAAGGTATACGTAGATCGCGTTGCCTGTGTATAAATAAGTTGCATTCTATTATTTAGATGCGCCCGAAACGAGGGTATATTTTCGATCATCTTTTCATCTTGCGCCCTGATGAATTTATAAAATGGTTGCGCAAGGGTATGAAGGGAAATTACGGGCTGGAAGAATAGATCTCGTATCGCCGTGTCATCGAAAGTTCATTTTTCGCGGTTGTTATTTAAGGCCGAGGGAAAGCCGAGTTCCGGGGGGTCGACGCGATGCATCGATCAATGTGCAACCCCTTTTCTTCTAGGAAGCTGTTCGAGATCTCTCCTTTTCACTCACCGTGCATTCATCCAGTAAAATTTTTCCTCGATGGCGATCCGATTGCTGGGCATGAAATTTTTTCAAACAATTTTTCACCGGCAAGTCCGTCGCTCGAAATTTGAATAGTACACGCGGGCTTACACGGTTTTTACGAAGATTTTTATTTTCGCTCGGCTTTGTCAGCGGTCGCACGTGTCTCTACAGTACAAAAAGTTGACTCTCCGTCAAAAGCACCGGCGACATTTTAATCCGTAAATTATCGAAGCGTAAACACGTTGTTCCGCAGCGAAATAACTTCGATGGTTCGCAGTTGCCGTCGATCTTGTCGCATTTTCGATGAAATCCTCTTTTCCCCTTGTGCAAATTTCCGTGTATCCCTCCCCGTTGAGAAAAGTATACTTCTTTCGCTTCCATTTATTCACTAGTATTTCCAGCGCTTATATCGTTCAGTGAAATGAATTTGAGCTAGTCGAGATTTTATTTAGCGTCGTAAAGCGTCGAAATTTTATATCTAGAGGGACAGGAGAAGGTCACGCTGCGACGATAAGATTACACTTCGAGAAGTGTAGTTTTAAACGTTAATAGCGATGCGAGTCACGGAGGAGTATAATTTACATGGACACGGGGAAAAGATTTCATAAATTGTTCCTCTGCTTGTATTGGCGCGGTCTTCAAGGGAAATGCGCTTAGCCTCTACCCGAGGGTCTTCTCTTTAACCTCTGACGGTACCCTCCGGTCATTACGTTTCATGATACTCTCACCGTTCAGAGATGATGAAGCGAACGGGAATATCGCGGCCCGATTCACGGTGCTCGGCAAACCGTGAGGTATCCATGAAAATCCTCCGCTGACTGTGTTACTCTTAAAGGCGCTCCTCGGCGCGTGTCAAAACACAAGTACCAAGGCGGAAACAACGGTAAGAGCATCGGGTACAAGCCAGGACGCGTAACCTAACGAAATTATCGAATGATTCACGGTGGAGTGGTCACCTCGATTCAGGAACGCTCGTTGTTGTCGACAATGGCCGGCGAAACAATGCCACCGCCGACAAAAAGGTCATCGGTGCACGCTTACTGCGAGAATGCAGTTTCGCATTATATCCCTTAATCTGTTTCATTTATCGGATCATTTGACACTTTTTTCATAAGCTATAGAATAACCTCATGTTATAAAAACAGGAACATTCTCAGAAGAATGACTCCAAACGTGATTCCTTTTTTAAGGATGTATTGGCTATACAGTCAATCCCAAAAGTTTATGCACTTTAGGGACGCATTTTTTAAAAAGAAATCAGACGTCGGAAGAACATTGCTAATAATAAACAACAAAAAAAAATTTTTTATTTTTCCGACGTCTGATTTCTTTTTAATTATAGGAAATGCGTTTTTCTAAGGTACATAAACTTTTAGAATTGACTGTATAGCCAATACATCCTTAATAGAGAATGAAAAGTCGCGCTTTTCTTTTTTTTGTTTCTAGATGGAGTTTTTCTTTTGCTGGCGAATTTTAAAGTTTCATTGTCTTAAGTATTGTCACGATCTTCGATTAGGTTCGTGGTCCGACGGACCGACTCGCTGAATGATCTAATTCAACTTTGCGATAGTCTCTGTGAACGTTAGGAGCAATCGGGTAAAAAACACGAGTCTTTCAGGGTGAAAGAAGTTGCCGAATGTCAAAGGATTGATTATCAAGATGAATCGACAGTCTTTATTTAAATCCATCTGCTCTCGTTTTATTCGAAAGGGTTTCAAGATCTATCTATCTATCGAGTAAAAAGAGAAAATTGTTGCGCGCGATGTCTGGAGGAGATACGATCCGCCGATTTGGCCAACAATGAACGAACGGGGTGAACGATGAGCATAAAGGATTTTCGCCAGAAAGTTGGCTCTCCGTTTGCCGTGCCCGAATTACTTTGGCCCGGTTAGCGACGAAAGGATAAGATCCGAAATCGTATTTGCCATTCCCATGATTATTTGGTTGTGCCCGGCACCCGTTCCATTCTTATTCTCGTATTTTTTTCCCTCATCAGGCCCTTTTATAGATGACCAATGGCGTGGGTCGAGCCGATGAATGGGAGATGCTCCTTTAGGATCCTGCTTTAAGAATGCACTCCTCCGTCGGGTGAAATGAGCCGAGCTAATTTCGGATCCGAGCCCCGGAGAATCGGGCGCAGATCGGCGGAACGAAACGGTCATGGAATAATGGCCGGGAAAAAGGAGTAAGTTTACGAGGAGACGACATCGATCTCGCGATTCGTCTTTCATCGGTAAACCCGATTGATTCATGGCCCTCGAATCAGACATGAAAACTGTGCCCCTCTATTGCTCGATGTGTGTTTGGGCAAAGGCGGTGAGGCTTCGCCGAGCACGATCAAGATTTTCCGTTCTACGGAATCCCACGAATCATTGTGCACCTATCACTGCAACGTCACGCTTTATCGCGCAGATCTTTCTTTGAGGAGAAAGGATTCTCGAGTTCATAGATTATTTGTTAGAGGAACAAACAGCTGACTTTGTTTTCATCCAACTCGCGTCTCATTCGGGATTTCGTTGAACAGTTGGATTAGTTAGAAGAATGCAAAGTGATTCTGTAGGAGATCTCATCGCTCACGAGTTTTATCGCGCGCGGTTGAAAGAGGAAGTACGAATCGAATCTATCTCGGATGTCAATAACAGGAAACTCTGGCATCCTTCCAGTAAGAGTTACGTTTCTAAACCGAAGAATTTCGAAACTTTTATAAATCATGTTTAGCATAATCGAGGAACGAATTCAATGACTGTCGGTTCAGAGATGATGGATTTTAAATATACATATACGAAATATCAGAAGTGAACGCTGTTACGTCGTTCAATTCAAACGTTGGCGAGTTTCAATTCAAGTTTATCTTCGAGAACGTATCGTCAAATATTTGGCTCGCGCTGACCCCAAAGGCGTTCTGGTTTACGCGCCAAGAAACTTCAGGCCTGGC